AGGAGAACCGCTTGAACCTGGGAGGTGGAGGTTACAGTGAGCTGAGATCACGCCATTGCACTCCAGCCTGGGCAACAAGAGCAAAACTCCATCTCATGAATGAATGAATGAAGCAAAATTATTAGCAACTTCTGATTTATCAAATACTAGCTCATCCCAAAAAGTTGACTATGTTGAGGAATATCACTGAAGCTTTCACAACAAACTAGAATTACTCACTGCCCTCAGGCTTTCCTAAAGATTTTCTTCCTTGGAGAAAATAAGTATAGTTGCCCAAATACCAAAAGTCAGTCTTCTCAGGTGGGTGAGGTTCAGGGGAAGTCAGACTGTGCTCTCCCAGCTCTTCCAACCTGTTCAAACCCTACTGAAGCCCAAATAACAACAAGAAAAGTAGCTTTCACTCAGTTACTAGGCTGAATGATGATCTCAGCATTGCTTTATCTCATCTGTCCCCTAAGCTTACCACAACCTTCTTAACCCTACTCCTTCCTTTACTTGGATCAATCTCTATTTCTGCCCCTTCTCTTCACCAGTTCTACTTCTGAGAGAAAGTTCAGAGGACAAAATACGGCAAGGCCACCCAGCATGGTGTACAAAGTAATCAGAAGTCATCCAATCCCACATATTCCCAATCTACCTCTCCCTCATAGCCAGCCTGCTTGGGGTGAACTTACTAAGGAAAGGTGAAAACTGCCCTGCCCCTTCAGGTATCAATCCTTGTTGTCTTTCAAACTGTCACACCCAGGGGAACCAATAGAAACCTGCTTTTCCAAACCAGCTCCTTCAAGGTGACTTTGAAAGTAAAAATGGGGAACTAATTATTGATGTTTCATTGTCCCAAATCACTGTTGTTGACTATCAATGATTATCTTCTGCATAGTAAGAATAAATCTTGAGCAAAGACTGTACTTCTCTTCCATTGTGTGCATGTATGAATGAGAGTGCGAGTGAGAGAGAAAAAGAGACAGAGTCTCTTTCTATTGCCAAGGTTGGAGTACAGTGGCATGATCATAGCTCACTGAAACCTTGAACTCTTAGGCTCAAGTGATTCTCCCAAATCAGCCCCCAAAACAGGTGTGATTACAGGTGCACATCACCATGCCCAGCTAATTAAAAAAAATTTTTGTTTTGTAGAGATAGTCTCAGCTATGTTGGCCTCTGAAAGCATTAGGATTACAGGTATGAGTCACTGCACCTATCTTGTACTTCTTTTATAATTCTTTTTACTGTAGTAAAATAAATTTCAAGTAGTAACATGAAATTTACCATTTTAGCCATTTTAAGTGTACAGTTCTGTGGCATTAGGTACACCCATGCTGCTGTGCAGCTATCATCAACATCCACCTCCAGAACTTTTTAATCTTGTAAAATGGAAACTCTGTACATATTAAACAACTCCCCTTTCCCTCCAGCCCCTGGCAACCACCATTCTACTTTATGTCTCTAAGATTTTGAGTATTCTAGGTACCTTATATGAGAAATCATACAGTATTTGTCCTTTTGTGACTGGCTCATTTCGCTTAACATACTATCTTTAAGGTTCATTCACGTAGAAAGTTTCAGAATTTCCTTCCTTTTTAATGCCAAATAATACTCTATGTATATGTCACATATTGTTTATCCATTCATTCACTGATGAACACCTGAGTTGCTTCCATTTTTAGTTATTTTGAATACTGCTACGAATATGGGTATACAAATATCTCTTCAATACTGTGCTTTCACTTTCTTTGGAGTATATACCCAAAGTGGAACTGCTGGATTATATGGTAATTCCATGTTTAATTCTTTAAAGAATCATCACACTGTTTTCTTCTTTGCTTAAAATTTTAAGTCATATGACCTATATACTAATTAGATTCACACATAGGACAGCAGTGGTCAGATGCTTTATTTCTAATGTTGTAACTATCCTACAGCTAGTTAAGGCACACCTTTAAATAACCAGTCTTTCCAATGGCTGATGAGGAAATGCTACTCATTAGTCAACAAGAATCTTGCATACCTATGACCTACTGGGTTCCAGTTACAGACAGGAACACAAAGGTAAATACAGCATGGTCACTGTCCTCAAGAAACTCAGGGAGTAGAAAAGAAGGTAGATATAAAAGTAAATGATCACAATAGGGCTAAGTGCTACCACAGAGTACTTCTGAAAGTAAATCCTTACCTAGAAATACAAGAATGCTGAGGTCATGAAAATATCTGCAGTTTCATAGGCTAATGTGAGTCAAATCTTTATGTTAATTATCTTTTGGGTGTAAAGGCATAAGGAGCTCTGATACTTTTTAAAGGTCTAACTTGTCTAGAAAGCCCATTCCTTTTTCAGGTAGAAGAGTACCCAATTCATTTTTCTCTTTTTAGAATCACCAAGAGATCAAAGAGAAGTAAAAGGAAGAAAAACTCATTTATCTTCCTATCTTCTGTACAAAGAGAAAGTTTCCACTCTTACAAATGCAAGGTTTAGGCTGGGCGTGGTAGCTTATGCCTGTAATCCCAGCACTTTGGGAAGCTGAGCCAGGTGGATCACTTGAGGTCAGGAGTTCAAGATCATCCTGGCCAAGATGGTGAAACCCTGTCTCTACTAAAAAATACAAAAATTAGCTGGGTGTGGTGGTGCATGCCCGTAATACCAGCTACGTGAGAGGCTGAGGCAGGACAATCACTTGAACTCGGGAGGCGGAGGTTGCAGTGAGCCAAGATCATGCCACAGCACTCCAGCCTGGGCAACAGAGCAGGACTCTGTCTCAAAAAAAAAAAAGAGAAAAAAAAGAAAAAGGCTTAGTTAAGGTGTTTATTTTATCATTGAAGAATTGCCAATCTTGGAAACAACCCTATGTCCATTGACTGATCAATGAGTAAACAAAATGTAGTAAGGCATGGTGGCACAAGCCTGTATACACAGCTACTTGGGAGGCTAAGGTAGGCGGATCACTTGAGTCCAGGAGTTTGAGGCCAGCCTAGGCAACACAGTAAGACCCTATCTCTAAACAAAACAAAACAAAATGAAACACCCCAAAAAACTTATAAACAAAATGTATTATATAAAAATAAGAAAATACTATTCAGTGTTAAAAAGGAATGAAATTCTGATTCAGGCTACAATATAGATGAATCCTGAACATATGCTAAGTGAAAAAAGCCAGTCAAAGAAGGACAAACATTGTGTGATTCTTCTGCTATGATGTACCTAGAATAGTCAAATTCACATACAGCAGAATTGTGGTTGCCAGAAGCTGGGAGAAGAGGGGAGTGGACTTAGTGTTTAATGGGTATAGAGTTTTGGTTTCGTAAGACTAAAAATTTCCATAGAGTGGTGATGGTTGCATAAAAATGTGAATGTACTTAATGCCACAGAACTATACACTTTAAAATGGCTAAAATGATTAATTTTATGATATGCATCTTTTATGACAAGAAACAAACAAAAATCATCAATCAAAAAACATTAAAAAAAAATCACAACTTTCTGATCATGTAAAATGATAGACGTTTTGTACTGCTGTGAAGAGGATCTCATGGCTGCCTCAAACATTTTCCTTTTATTTATTTTTTGAGATGGTGTGTCACTATGTCACCCAGGCTGGAGTGCAGTGGCGTGATCTCAGCTCACTGCAACTTCCACCTCCCAGGTTTAAGCAATTCTCCTACCTCAGCCTCCTGAGTAGCTGGGATTACAGGCGCCCGCCACCACGCATGGCTAACTTTTATATTTTTCGTACAGATGAGGTGTCACCATGTTCGCCAGGTTGGTCTCTCCTGACCTCAGGTGATCCACCCGCCTCAGCCTCCCAAAGTGCCGGGACTACAGGCATGAGCCACTGTACCTGGCCCAACATCTTCCTTCTAAACTTACTTTATTTATTAGTAACTAATAAAATTCTTGAAGTACTAAAAACAAAACACTGTAACTTACCTGTTTTTAATTGCATCACTTACCACTTTAGAAGGCAGTTTCTGAAAAAGTTCGCTAATGAGACGTCCTGATGGATTTGTAGCTACAACTATGGCTTCAAGAAGCTGCTCCAGGATCTCCTTCAAGTAAGTTGGAGAAGACTGGTAATGAGGAGAAAAAAGTACTTTGTAAGAGAATAAAATGTTGAATATTACATAGCTTCTAAAATTGTAAAGCTAATTCAAAAGAGGAACTTTTTTTTTTTTTTTTGGAAGATGGAGAGGCTGGAGTGCAGTGGCATGATCTCAGCTCACTGCAACCTCTGCTTCTTGAGTTCCAGCAATTCTCCTGCCTCAGCCTCCCGAGTAGCTGGGATTACAGGCAGGCGCCACCATACCCAGCTAATTTTTGTATTTTTAGTAAAGACAGGGTTTCACCAAGTTGGCCAGGCTGGTCTTGAACTCCTGACCTCGAGGTCCTCCCACCTTGGCCTCCCAAAGTGCTGGGATTATAGGCATGACCCACCAAGCCTGGCGAAAGAGAGCAACTTCTAAGCAGTGCTTATTTTAAGTCCAAATTTCAAGAATATCCCATAATGTTCTGATGCTGGCCACAGGCATTGTATCCCTAGAACAACCTATATGAAACTAATGAGGCTCCTTATATTATTTTTGCAATGAAATCTCTTGTACTAGGTACTTTTACTGAAACTTTTTCTACAGTAAATATTGTAATGGCAAAGTTTAAGTGCCACAAATGTGAAATGAGCAACTCAGCAGGAGAAAACATGTCCCATAATAGTTGGTCATTTCTATATCTGCTGTTCACATCTATTGAAGTCTTCATATTCTTATAGGACAATGATTACTTACATACTTTTAACCACGGGGTGCTCTACCAGGTCTAACAATAATTCAAATTAAGTCAACACGAAATAGCGATTAAGTAAATCAATGTGCACCATTTCTGCTCTTCAGATTGACTGGTTTATACCTAGCTTAGACACTATTTCAACAAAGTATATGCCTCAAGGAGTACTTGACCAGGGAGGGTCCAAGTTTGAAGCAAGTTTCTAGAATAAGCAATGGGATGTCTCAGTCAAGGATTAAATGATGCTTCTAGTCCAAATCATTATTTGTGCATATAAAATAAATAGTAATGGTTATTTCTGGTTTAAATCATCAGAGCACTGGCATTTTGTCCCAATCCAACAGAAGGTTTTTTTATTTAGTATAGTCTCAATTTTAAAGTTCAACACTTTTTTTTCCCCCACTCTGTCGTCCAGGTTGGAGTCAAGTGGCGTGACCATGGCTCATTGCAGCCTCAAACTCCTGGGCTCAAGCAATCCTTCCACCTCAGCTTTTCAAGTAGCTGAGACCACAGATGTGTACTACCATGTGTGGCT